GTAACTGTTTGGTGGTTTCCTGGCCTTAGTGTATGTTCCTCATTCTAAAATGCCCTCTTAAGGCTTCATTAGAAACAGTAAGACCTTTAAGCTAAAATATGCTTTGTTGTTTGCTTGCATTTTGGGGCCCATTCCTTTTGCCCTTGACCCACCCACTACTGGAATGCGGACCCAAATAGCATCTCTGAAATGCAGTTTAGTTCTTGGACTGGAAAAGGTTCCAGATTCTTGATTTACCTTGATTTGCTTTAGTTTACCGAGCTTCCATCTCCCTCACGGGGCTTCCTGTTCTCTCGAGGCCGGGTCTAGAGTGCCTCTATTTGGTGTTGGGTGACCGAGACAGATTGGGGATTCTGTTGGTGTACTGTGCACCCTTCTGCCCAACAGACTCCCTGTCTGAGCTGACAGAGATTGTCTCGGACCTGGTGTTGAGGACCCCCAGGATGCTGGTCCTGGGGGACTTCAATCTCCATGCCGAGTCTGTTCTGACCGGGGCGGCTCAGGACTTCATGGCCTCCATGACAGCCATGGGGCTGTCTCAACATGTCATAGGCCCGACCAATGAACATGGGCACACTCTGGACCTGGTTTTCTCGACGGGGCAGGAGGAGGGTGATCTGAGGGTGAGGAATTTGCGTTTGACTCCACTGTCATCGTCAGATCACTTCCTCATGAGGTTTGAGCTCGAGAGCAGCCTTTCCCTCTGTAAGGGTGCGGACCCTATTGTGTTGGTCCGCCCCCGGAGCTGGATGGATCCGGATGGATTCCTGAAGGCTCTGGGGGAATTTCCAGTTGATAAGGCTGGTGCTCCTGTTGATGCTCTGGTTGAACTGTGGAATGGGGAAATGACCAGAGCTATTGACACCATCGCTCCTAAGCGTCCTCTCCCCCCTGGCAGAGCCTGTTCATCCCCCTGGTATACACCTGAACTATGGGTGATGAAGCGGGTTGGGAGATGTCTAGAGCGTAGGTGGAGGAAATCACGGGATGAATCTGACTGAACACACTTGAGACCTCACTATCAAGCTTATGCTGTGGCGGTGAGGGCGGCGAAGAAGAAATTCTTCTCCGCTTCCATTGCCTCCTCACATGCTGTCCAGAGGAGCTCTTTCGGGTGGTACAGGGGCTGGTTCATCCTGGCCCCAAGAAAGATTCCGTACCGCCCTCGATGGCCCACTGTGATGACTTTGCCAAGCATTTTAAGGAGAAAATCGCTCAGATTCGTCATGAGCTGGACTCCACTAGTGGTTCAGAGCCCTTAGGAAGTGCCAATGTTGCCATCTGGTCCAACATTGTTGGAGAGTTTCAGTTATTGCGGCCTGATGATGTGGACAAGGTGCTTGGACAAGTACGTCCCACCACCTGTTTACTGGACCCTTGCCCATTGTGGCTACTTAACAAAGCCAAACACGGGATTGGGGCCTGGTTCCTGGAGGTCATCAATGCCTCTCTGAGGGACGGCCGGGTACCTGCCCCTCTAAAGGAGGCGGTAGTCCAGCCAGTCCTAAAAAAGGCGTCTCTGGATCCAGAGATGGCCGCCAATTATAGACCAGTGGCCAACATCCCATTTCTGAGCAAAGTGTTGGAATGGGTGGTGGCAGGACAACTCCAGGCACTCTTGGATGAGACCGATTATCTGGATCAACTTCATTCCGGCTTTAGACCCGGGTACGGTACTGAATCTGCCTTGGTCGCCCTGTATGATGACCTGTGCGGGGGGAGAGACAGGGGGAGTGCATCCCTGCTGGTCCTCCTGGACCTCTCAGTGGCTTTTGATACCATCGACCATGGTATCCTTCTGGATAGGCTAGCGGGATTGGGAGCTGGGGGCACTGCTTTGCAGTGGTTCCACTCCTATCTCAATGGCCGATTCCAGAAGGTGGTGCTGGGGGACTATGGCTCTGCGCCATGGCAGCTATGCCATGGAGTACCGCAGGGATCCATTTTGTCCCCCTTGCTATTTAACATCTACATGAAACCACTGGGAGAGGTCATCAGGAGGTGTGGTCTGCGGAATCATCAGTACGC